TTTTTTTTTTTTTTTTGCATGATGAGGCCTTAGGAAGTGGCATTTAAACTAGATCTTGAAAGTTGAAGTGCAGAGTAGAAATAGAGGGAAGTATTTTCCAAAGAAAACACCATGAGAAGATTCACAGGGGTGTCAAAGTTCATGCCATATTTGAGAGGCTATGTAAAGGCAACATAGAGTGCTTGAGAGGTATGGAACAAGAGAGGAAAACAGAGACTAGGGGCCAGTTTGTGAAAGACTGTAAACCCTGTTGAAGGAAGCACAACTGTGAAATAGCTCAAGATGGACATTATCTCCCTTGAATAAATAAAGCATTTTGGTGGTTTTGACTTGGTGGGAGAAATTCTCATTCTCTCTTTCTCTGTCTCAAAGTGCAGTTAATTTAAGATCCTTAATTAGCATATAAAATTGTATCAAAAACAAAATGGTAGCCCAGGGCAGGAGCAGATGCCATGGCCTTCAGCATCGCATCCCTTGGCATCTGGAATCCCTCATCTGGGTTGAGGTAGGGAGCTACGGTTGTACACTTTGTGTCTTGGATATTTTCAAAGCCCAATTCTTGCTATGCCACTGAACTTTTATAGTTGGGGTGTACATCTTCTCTCAACAAAACTTAGACTCCCTAAACATGCACTTAGGGCCTCCGCTGGCTCTTGAAGTAGGCTCAGCATCACTAAGGCCACATCCTCAAATGTGGGGAGAGAGCAAGTCGGTGGCCAGAGTCCTTGAACAATATCTCCACCTTCAGCTTTCCAAAATTCTGGAAAGCCCTGACTCCTCCCACAATAAGAGCATTCACATAGATGGTACCAAACACTAGCATCCAAGCAGAAGGAGACGTTTGGCCTTTTACTTACAAGAAAAATAACTAATGATGAAAGTACAAGTCCCCAGTTGTGACTGAATTACAAAATAGCTACTCTTTCCTCTGGTAGAATAATGATACCACCACTGCGTATGCTTGAGTTCTAAATGTCCCCAGGAAGCTTTCCCTTCTGCCTCCCAAATGGATTAGCACCATTCCTGGTCCATCCTTAAACTCATTCCTCTAAAGGTTCATTATCTATTTACATCTTTCTTCTCAATAAGACTATAGCCTCCTTGAGAAAGTTCTGTTGAATTCCCAGCCTGGTCCTTGGAACACAGTGGCATTTTAGCAAATAGTTGAAGGAATGAATGAGTCAGTGAAGAAGGCTGGTCTTAATATAAAGGCCTGGGGCTCTTTCCACTGTGTACAAACACTGAAGAACAGCACCATTTTGGTGTAGTTCAAGAGGAGTCAAAAATTTTTTTAAATAATTTTTATACAAAAGAGTAGAATACTTGGAGGGGGGAAAGCATGGTAAAGAAGAGGGGTGGACAATCAGGAGTAGAAAAGGTAGCTGGGATATTAAATAAGAATATATAGATGTCATCAAGAGCCTCGTTAGGTCTGGAGGAGTTTTTTTTTTTTTTTTTCCCTTTTTTTGTGCAGGGAGAAGCCTCATAAGCATGGTTGAGTTTGAGTTACCTTCCATAAGATTTGTGGCAAGGAGGGGGATCAAAATCAAATTTAATTTTATTTTTAAACATACGATATTTTCGGGGCTCCCAGGTGGCTCAGTCGGTTGAATGTTGTTTGATTTCTTGGTCTTAGCTCAGGTCTTGATCTCAGGGTTGTGAGTTCGAGCCCCGTGTTGTGCTCCACACTGGGCATGAAGCCTACTTTAAAAAAAAAAAAAAAGAAAAGAAAAAAGAAACATGTTATTTTCATGCCCAAATGCTTTTCATACTGTTGTATATGTAAGAGTCCTCATTGAGGATCATGTGGCTTGTCCCTTCCTTATAACGTTTTTGTTAAGGAAGTATTGAGACATAATTTACATGTGCTAAGTCCAAACCATGTGTATCCAAGTGTGCAGGGATGAGTTTTGACATATGCATAGACATCTAGATACAGTTTACCCATCACAATTAAGATATAGACCTCTGTAACCCCCAAAGTCTCTTGTACCCTTTGTAGTCAGCCCCTCCCCCCACTCCCAACCTCTGGAGCCACTTAACTGTTTTCTTTCCTTGCAGTTTTCTCTTTTCCAAAATACTGTATAAAGGGAATCATCCAGTCAGTAGCCTCTTTTACTTAACATAATGCATTTGAGGTGCCTTATGCATGTTACATCTCAGTATGGAGTAGTCGTCCATTATATTTCTGCCACAGATTGTCCATTCACCAGCTGATGGACGTTTGTTCTTTTTCTACTTTTTGGCTGCTGTGAATAGTGCTGCAGTGAATATGCACATCAAAGTCTTCGTGTGGACGTATGTTTTCATTCCTCCTGGGTGGGTAACCAGGATCAGGACTGCAGGCATGGCTCTCTAAGGAATTTCATTTTTATTTTGTATGTTCAGGGGTCCATGGGTGTATATAAAGAGTGGGAGACATGGACAGAAAGATCCTCAGGACCGTGTAGACCATGGGAACAGACTGGAAGCAGGGAGACTGGTTAGAGAATTGTTACTTTTCTGTCTACCATGTGGCAGACATTGCCATCTTCATCACTCTCTTTAATGCGGTGGGTTTAGAACATAGAGTCATGCAGAGATCCTGTGTCTGTTTTTCTTGGGGAAAATTTGACCACTTAGTGGCCAAATTCTACCCATGCACTGTAATATAAAAACATCTTCATTTGGGGCGCCTGGGTGGCTCAGT